ACAGCTAGTGGAGACGGTTTATAAATAGAAAATAGAATACAGAATGCGTAGACGGTTGGAAAATTGAAAATAAATTACGGCTTGTGGAGATTGTTGGAAAAAAAGTAAATAAAATACCCACTGTGCATACAGTTTTTCAGTGGAAAATAAAATACAGGTAGTGGAGACGTTTGGAAAAAAAATACAGCTAGTGGAGACGGAAAGTAATTTTTTAAATATAACTAGTGGAGCCGTTTGAAAATATTTGTCAAAAAAAGCTTGTGGAAACGTTGGAAAATAGAATAGAATATACAACTAGTGTAGGCGGTTTGAAAATAGAAATTAAAATACAGGCTTCGTAGACGGTCTGAAAATATAAATTGAAATACAGCTAGTGGAGACAGTTAGAAAAAAGTAAATAAAATACAGACTGCGAAAACGGTTTGAAAGTAAAAAATAAATTACAGCTAGTGGAGACGGTTAGAAAAAAGAAAATAGAATACGAATAAGGGAGATGGTTGGAAAGTAGAAAATGAAATACAGCTAGTGGAGACAGTAGGAAATTTAAAAAAATGAAAAACAGATAGTGGACACTGTTGGAAAATATTTTTTTTAATATAGCTAGAGGAGACCGCAGGTAAATATTTGCAAAAATAAAGATTGTGGATTCGGTTCGAAAATAGAAAATAAAATACAGACTGCCTAAATGGTTTGAAAGTAGAAAATAAAATACGGTTATTTGAAACAGTTGAAAAATAGAAAATAAAATACAGATAGTGGAGACAGTTTTAAAAAAGTAAATAAAGTACTCACTCAATAAACAGTTTGAAAATAGAAAATAAATTACGGCTAGTGGAGACTGTTGGAAAATATATTTTTTTAATATAGCTAGTGGAGACAGTTGAATATAAGTAAATAAACTACTGACTGCGTAAACGGTTTGAAAGTAGGAAATAAAATACGGCTAGTGGAGACGGTGAGAAAAAAGAAAAGAAAATACGGCTATTGTAGATGGTTTGTAAAAACAAATTATATGACGGCTAGTGGAGACGGTTGGAAAATATAAAATAATATACAGCTAGTGCAGACGGTTTTTTAATAGAAAATAGAATACAGAATGCGTAGATGGTTGGAAAATTAAAAATAAAATACGGCTAGTGGAGATTGTTGGAAAAAAGTAAATATAATACCCACTGTGCATACAGTTTTTCAGTGGAAAATAAAATACAGATAGTGGGGACGGTTGGAAAAAAATACAGCTAGTGGAGACGGAAAATATTTTGTAAAAT